TACCCCAGAACTTAAGGTATAATTCAAAAAAATTATAATAATAATTGAATAATAAAAAAAGAAGAAACAATTCACACCTAGCTCCTCAGTTGTAAAATTCAACTTTCTAGCTTTGGAGAGTGATATACCTGTTTAACACTCAGTTGATGAATTGATGAAAGAAGTTCCAGGAGACAACTCCCCATAATTTCTGGCTAATTCTCTTATCTGAATACCAGAACTATTTAAAGAGTTTTCAGATTACTGCTACCTGCTAATGCATAATGTGAATGGGGCTTTTCTAATTTCGTAGAAACAAAATGTAGTAATAGAAATCAATTAATTGTAAAACTGACCTACAATTCAAATTAACCATTACAGAGATTGAAACACTCTTTGAAGATATAGTACAAATGATTTCTCACCACTTACTGATAAAATGAATGGTAATAACAATAATTTTAGTAATATTTTATTTTCACTTTGAAAACTGTAATATAGCTATATAATTTTCCTAGTGATGTGTTACAAATATCCATTAAGTATCAAACTATGCAAAATTTGAGAATCTTATAAATGAAAAATACAGGAACTGAAACCAGAAAAACTTGAGTTCAAATTTCAGCTCTGTAATTTACTTTTGTAATTTCTGGCATATCTCTTTCTGTTCCTCAGTTTCTTCATCTACAGTATAGGAACAACATCAATTATGCTCAAAGGCAGTTAAACATATGAGAAATATATATTCATAATAGTATAGCTTCAAGGCATACAGCAAATCTCAGGAGTAGGTTATTATCATGAGATTAGTATTAGGTATTATTAAATTTATTATTTCACTTATACCTGGAGGACAGGAGTTCTTTCTTGGTCTAGTTTCTTTGTATGACTTCCTTCCCTGCAGTTTTAGTTCTTAATATACATGATATGTAAAGAGGAATAAATATGTGGGAAGGTTTTATCTACAAGTAGCAACAGCATTCTCTTTCTATTTCCCAAACTCTCTTTCTATTATAATTTTACCCTGAAGGGGCATTGACACTCTACCCTAAGTCCACATGAAAATAAAAAGTTAAGGAAAAAGTCAACTTCTTCACTAGAGGAAGATTCTTTTCTTGGAGATATGCTTCCAGTGCCTGTTACCTGACAATCTTATATTCTACCTGCAAGACCCTAGGTAAGACAGAGCCCAGAAGAATGGAAGAAAAGATAACTCATTTATTAATTCAACTATAGTTTTTGTATCTACTATATACCTGGAACTTTTTTAAACCTAAAGGATAAATCCATAAAGAAAGCAAATAAAAATCACTGCCCTGTTAAGTTTGTACTTAAACGCAGGGAGGAAATTTCAACACGCTATTGCAGGATGTGGAAGCAAAAGGAAAAATCCAAGTGGAAAGAAGATCCTCTTAATCCAAGGAAACAGAAACCAGAGTGGTAGGCACTCTGAGAATGGTTTGGATACCATGATGAATTCACTTGTAGACCACCTGCTTTGGAACAGTCTTGACTATTTGCAAGCCTGATGAACTAAAGACAGGGAATTGGAACTCTCTATGTGATCATCAATGAAGAGAAGTGAGAAAAACTAGGGGGAGAATTTCTTTCTTTTTTTTTTTTTTTTTGACAGAGTCTCACTCTGTTACCCAGGCTGGAGTACGGTGGCACAATCTCGGCTCACTGCAACCTCCGCCTCCCCAGTTCAAGCAATTCTCCTGCCTCAGCCTCCCGAGTAGCTGGGACTACAGGCACACGCCACCGCGCCCAGCTAGTTTTTGTATTTTTTAGTAGAGGCAGGGTTTCACCATGTTGGCCAGGATAGTCTCGATCTCTTGATCTCGTGATCCGCCCGCCTCGGCCTCCCAAAGTGCTGGGGTTACAGGCTTGAGCCACCGCGCCCGGCCCGAGAATTTCTTTAAGAATGAGACAGTGAGGGACTCACCACAACTGCTGCAACCTCACTGATAAGATGAGAACGTACTGCTCCTTGCCGCTCTTTTCCCATTCTATTCTTTCTCATATAAAAACATATAAAGAAATATGGTTGTTTAATGACTAGAGTCTTCCTCTTCAAGATCAATATGCATAGTTGATTTTATTTGTTATTAAAGTAATACAATGGAATATTGGCTTTTTATCATGGTAGTTAATGGTGCAATTTGTGACATTTTTCAGGAAGAGGCTCAAATCCTGGGTCTACCACTTACTAACATGTTTTTAGCAAATTAAAAAATATTTCTGAGTCTCAGTGTCCTCATTGATAAAATAGGGTAATAATCTATTTCAAAGGAAAGTATTTTAAAGTGGTTATAATCATTACTCATATAGATATATAAAATTTATATATCTTATTTTATTTAACTCATTAATGAAAGAATCATTTAGATATTTTAACTATGTCAAAGAAAATTTCAAAAAGCAGATATACAGACACATTTACAAATAGGTAAAAATGTTTCTATGCAATTGCTAATTACATTCTACTAGATATGGCTACTCTGCATACCTAAGGGCAAGAGTGATTTTCATCATTATCTATTTTTTAAAACTTATAAAATTGTCAAAAAAAATGAAAGGTAGAGACAAACCTAATGAATGACCTTGGCTAGTCAGCCAACCATCTTCCTTTGCTCATATCAAAATTTCTCACAATTTTTCCTGACAAAGTCATTTTGAGTATTAACTAGGTTATATGTATATAAATTACTAAGCACAATGACTGGAAAATAAAAAGTACTTCCAAAATGTTGAATCCTGAAGTTGCAATGATTCTTAAAAATTGCTAACTTGAAACATATAAAATTGCAAATATTAGAGTATTTTTAACCTATTGAAACAGCAATATCATATGTTTCAAATTAATATAACAATTATGGTTACTTAGCATAAGAAAAAATGTTCTAAAGTAATTAAAAGTGTTCAAGAATATAAAACTGTATCTCTGTTTGAAGAGAATGTTTCCAGAACTAAGAGGCTTAAATATTTCTATTTTTGATGAACTGATTGCTATTCTTGTGGGTTCTGGAGAAGTCAGATTTTGCAGACTTTATCAGGTAAAGGTAGACTATTTAAAACTTTAGGGAACCATTTCCAATGTGCTAAGCCACAATATAATTCCCAGGTTAAATCATGTTAGAAGATACTAAATAAAAAAGAGATTATTTTATGTTACAGTATCTCAGAGATTTAACAATCTCAAAACAAATTTTCTGCATTTTAAATATTTATTTGAACCTGATCTTTATTCATGAAGTATTTTCTCTATTGTTCCATTGAATACTGCTTGAGAAAGCAACTACAAGCCTTTGGCTACACATCTTTGAATGGTCTCTCACTGTAGGTAACACAACTAAGTCAAATTAGGAGAGTTGTTGTTGCCTAGGTGAAATAAGACCTTTACAACCATGCTATTCTATGGCCTTGAAAATAATGAGCTCTGCTGTCAAAGTATATCCAGAGTTGGAACACATGTCCAAAACTCCTACTCTATCTAAACCACTAGGAACTCTTCTTGGATCCTATCAGTGTCCTATCAGTCTTTCCTGTGATTCCATTTATGACTTCGAACAATCTACCATCTTTATACAACAGCAGGAGGAATACTTTTTAAAATTTGGGTCAGATTATGTCACTTTTCCATTCAAAACTCTCTAGTGTCTCCCAGTGCACTTCAAATAGAACCCAACTCTTCCCATTAAATAAAAGATCCTGCCTGATTTGACTCCATCTATATCTCTGACCTCCACACATACTCTTTCCAGTCACACTGGCCTCTCTGCATGGTTCTGCCCCAGGGTTTCTGTTCTACCCTCTCCCCTGCCTAATAATCACAGGATTATTCTCATCTTAGAAAGGTCTTCCTGTACCTAATACTTTACTTACTATCCTACCTAAAATAGTTCCTGTACTTTCTATTGACTTTCATTTATCTTTATTTATGGTTGACATCTGACATATATGTTTTATTTAATTTTCACTTGTCTATTTTTTCCCCCTGTGAATTGCATGTGTTTGAATTTAATTTGTTATGGTTTCTCCTAATTTGGTCTTGAGATCTTTCTGTCATGAGTGGCCACAAGCAATATAACTAATCTCTAGGGGACCTCTGTCTGGGAGAAAGTAAGGATCAAGTGTGTTTGTCAGCTGAAACACAGTGAAGTGAAACCCGAAAGCATGAAACAGAAGAAATGTATTACTCACAGATTCAGAAGTTAGGGATACCTAGGCAAGGATGACAGAAAGTCCAGAGGTGGAATAATGCTCAACCACAAGATGGAGAGTAAGAAAGAGGGTAATATGCCTTTATCCTGAGCCACAGGCATTAACCCTCAAGCTTTCCCATGGGGGCTGTAAATTGGCTAGTTTAAAGAAAGCACTTAATTTGCATATCTCTGCTGATTAGTGATGTTAAACATGTTTTCATACATTTGTTGTATGTATTACTTTAAGAAATGTTCATTAAGATCATTTGCCCATTTTTTTCAGATTATTTACTTATTATTATTTTCTGTTGAGATAGTTTCATTCCTTGTATATTTTGGATATTAATATCTTGTCAGATCAATAGTTTGCAAATATTTTCTCTGATTTTCTAGGTTGCTTCTCTACTCTGTTGATTGTTCCCTGTGCTGTGCTAAAGCTTTTAATCTTGACATAGTCCCATCATTTTATTTTTGCTTTTGTTTCCTGTGCTTTTGAGGTCTTATTCATAAATCGTTTTCAAGACAAATGTTCCAAAGCATTTCTCCTGTTTTCTTCTAGTAGTTTTAAATGTTCAGGTCCTATATTTAGGTCTTTAATATAATTTTAGTTGATTTTGTATCAAGGAAATGTAAAGTAAAGCCACAATGAGGTATCATATCACTCCAGTTGAAATGTTTATTATCAAAAGAACAAAAAAGAAATAACAAAAGCCATCGTGGATATGGAGAAAAAAAAAAACACAACTCTTATATACTGTTAGTGGGAATGAAAACTAGTAAAGCTAGTAGTAAAGCCATGGAAGTTCATCAAAAAAACTACAAAGAGAAGTATCATATGATCCAGCAATCTCATCACTGGGTATTTATCCAAAGGAAACAAATCAGTATATTGAAGAAACCTCTGCATCACCATAGTTTTTTGCAGAACTATTCACAATAGGCAAGATATGGCATCAATTCAAGTGTTCAATAACAGATGAAGGGATTTGAAAAAAAAATGTGGTACATATATACAATTGGATACTATTCAGCCATAAAAAAGAATAAAATTATGTCATTCATGGCAGCATGGATGAAACTGAAAGACATTAATTTAAGTGAAATAAGCCAGGAGCAGCAAGTGAAACACCGTTAAACACTGCATTTTGTCACTCAGACCTAGAGGCTAAAAAAAAGTTGATCTCACAGAATTAAAAAGTAGAAGAGAGGATACTATACTAGATTATGGGATGGGTAGGGGAAAAGGAGACGAGAAAGAGTTTTGCTAAAGGATACAAAATCATAACCAAATAGGAGGAATAAGTTCTAGTGTTCTATAGAACTATAGGATGCCCAGAGTAAACAACAATATATAGTTTCAAATAGCTCAAAGGAGGATATTAAATGTTTGAAACACAAATAAATCATAAATTATAAATATAATAATTATGACTATAAAACTCTTGAGATTATGAATTTGAAAATTATACTTATTTGATAACTACACATACATAAATAAAATAAAATGCTTGTGAAGGGGAAACTTACTTACATGACCCTCATGTTGACCATTAGATTTTATCATGGTCAACAGCTGTGGGTATGTCTGGAAATGGGTCAGTGGGATGAGAAACAAATGAGATATCATACAGGGAGGGGAAGTTTTAACTAAGCCAATGATGATAGGGTACAACTGGTTTAAAATAACTTATGCTAAGCCTTAAAATGAATGCTGAGTCAGCAGGTATATTAACCAAATTTATGACAATATGGTTTATGGCTAAAAGTACTACTTACATTGTCTTAATCTATATTTCAGTTGGGATGAAAAGTGTACTTAAAAAATATTTTGAATAAAGAAATGAATTAATAAACGGAGAAAGTAAAATAGGGAAAAAAGATGAAAATGAAAAAAATCCCAAAGAATAAAAATTATTATAAGAGTCTAGATGGCTCTCAAAGAATGGCACTTCCCATTTGTAAACAATATATCTTTTTCTCATTGAATAACACACTAAAGAATCGGCCTTCTTGCACTTTGGTCAATAGATACTTTGACTTTGATTATGTATGCTGGAATACGTAAAGAAAATAAGAAAAGAACCCTGAGATTTCTGAAAGCAGAGTTGCCAATACTGTATTATGCTTAACAATTTTTAAACAGGATTTGTGAATACGGACATGGATCACAAGAAAATAGGAGGAAAATGAGAATATTTATAAAAGTGGAAGTCAGTGGAATACTTATTTTTCTATGTAATATTAAATAGTATTATAAGACAAAATGTAATAAGATTCCAAATATTCTGACAGGTATGAGTGATTTCAGTGTCAGATGTTTGCAGATAATACCAAAGGTTAAAAAGTGATCATTGATTTTTTTTTTTTAATCTCAGTTTGTAAAACATTTATTAAATTAAAAAAAAATACTTCCTTCTTCACTCTACCAGCAGGGTTTCGAATGGACTTTTCTCCTTTGATATTCTTATATTTACCACCCATATGGTCATTGCATGTTTGACTGCTTCATCCATCAATTTGAAGTCAAGGGTACTGAAGTAAGATATGCCTAATGCTCACTGTGTACTCCCAAGCATCTAAATAGAACAACATTTATAATATTATTCATGGTATATATTATGTATATATTAATAGTTGTTCTGTGAATGTATTAGAAACACTATGGGTCAAAGTAATTTGGTGCATTTTTTCCAAAGCAGTATCTTAAAATTATTAAAATTCAGCATGACCAAAATGATTCCTAGTGTTATATGACAGTTGAAATGGGTATTAGTAAAGACATATAAAAATTGCACATGAAGAGCCCATACGGTCTTAGTCAGGGTCAGGGTCAGCTTCAGTGGCTTTTCTATTGCTGATATCTGGATCCCTAAACTGCTTAAATTGATAAAGGTAACAAGAGTAATAAACCACTGCAAGTGCTACTGATGCTACTCAAATAAGATTGGGACACTGATTATTCTTACCCGTTTCACAGAAAATAGACTAAAATAGAAATTTCAGAGCAGACTTATTGAAGACAAAGGAGATGTAATATCACTAATACCAGTGAATGAGAGAGATATTGAGCATCTCTTCTGAGCTCCACATGTCTGTAGGTGATATAAGAAATATAACATTATTTGGCATGATACCTGCTTCAAAAAATGGTTTGGGGAGGAGGATGAAAAAAAGAAACTAATAATAGAGAGAGTAATTATCATTTACTGAATAACTAAATGAGAATTCTGCATTCATATGTCTTTTAATCCTTGAAGTGACCCTACCAGGTAAATATTAATATTATTCTGTTTTGAAAGATAGTTAAAATGGAGGTTCATAGAATTTAAATGCGTCCCATAGTAACATAACCTATAACCAATAATGACTCAGTTCCTTCTAGTTCCAAAGTTCTTACTCTGAACCCCTTTGTCATATTGCTTTTCTAGACAGTAAGAGATTTACTGCATCTTGCAATGTAGTTATCATTTTTTTTTATCCTGGAGACACTCATAAGTTTCCATTCATTTTTAACCCACCTCACATGGTTGTAATGATGTGACTAAATAATTTACAGAAGTGTTGTAAAAGAGATATTCATTAAAAATGTCAGTCCCATTTCACTGTTCCTTCAAGATGCTTAAAATCTTGTTAATTATGAAAGATTTGTAATATTGTAGAAAAAAAATAAGACAGCAGCAGTCACTGATGTGAGAGAAGGTCAATGATTACTAGACAATCTAAGGAAGGGTGAAACTCAGTGTAGATTACAAATGATGAAAAGGGCTACATAAATGAAAGAAGAATGGAGAAGCCAAGTAAAAGGATAGTCCACAGGAAAGAATTCTGGAAATCACAACCCTACTTAACAACGATTAAATTTTACCGTATTTTCATTTTCTTCTGATATACCCATATTTGAAACATTTACCTTCAAATCATTTGGGTATGCAGTCATTTGTACCTACAATAGTGTCACATACACAAAATAAATTACCCTGACATTGAACTAAAAACTGTAAGGATAAATAAGGTTACAGATGCCAATTCTTTCCTTATTCATTTTCTTTTACAATGTAGTACGAAATTATCCTGTTTTAGAATATCTTACAGTATATAAACTTTTCAGTAGTTAAAGTGTCAAAGCCCATTTCAAACCATCGATTCATCAAATTATTATTATTAACTATTGGCAATGATATTTATAGTTTTACGAATGACAATCTTTGGAATCACAATTACTTTCCTGTATAGGAAAGTTTATGTGACCCTAGCACTTCTACTGATATTATGTAAAGATGTGGTAACAGAATATAAAACGGCATTCATTTTTTAATCTTTTAATTTTCTTCTACAACTAGATACCATGCTTCCATTTGCTCTTTGAATGTTGTCTTTTGGCAGCACTTGAGCCATGAGAGGCATGGATGGCTGTACAACTCTAATTTTAATGTGTTGGTAGCCATATGCACAGATACAGACAGAGAAAAAAGACCAGATGTGATAACGGAGTAAAGGAAGAGAATGACTGGGTCAGGAGGAAAAAGACTCCCGAAGGAAGCCAGGTGAAGAAGAAGAACCTCAGTAAAAGGTTCTTCAAGATATTTCATGCCTCAGCAAGGAACTGAAGGGAAACATTATTGAAAAATACAAATCTTATTAGTTGAGTTCTAACTGGTTATAGTATCTATGAACAATATATTCTGAGATGACATAAAAATGTACTTGCAATATTAGCTCAGTCATTTCTTAGAATACTTAATAAGACCACTGAATTTATTTTCTGAGAGTATAGTCAGAAAATTAACCCATATATTTTAATAGAAAAACAATGATAAAATTAATAAATGTATACCTATATTGATCAAGAAAAAGAGAGTAAATACTAATAACAATAATCAAAGCAGTAAAAATACTACAGATAGTAACCATATTGTTAAGCCATATTAAGAAATTATAACAGTAAATCAACAACTTAGATGAAGTTGAAAATAATTATTGAAGAAAACAACCAGTAACTGATGCAAGATTAAATACAGTATGAAAAGTCAATGTGTATTGAAATTGATTAATTTTTATTATCATAAATCATTCTGCAAATAAAATTCCAAAAACAGGTTCACTAATAAATTCAGATATCTTATAAAGAAATTATACCAATCACTCAAATTTTGCCATCTTTTAGAAAACAGAGGAAGAAAACTGTCTGTTTGAGACAAACATAACTATGATAGGAAATATTAAAAAGACATTTAAAAAATAAAATTATAGAGCTAGTGAATATATGCTGTAAAAATCTTTTTCTTTTTTAAAAATTTATTTATTATACTTTAAGTTCTGGGATACATGTGCAGATCGTGCAGGTTTGTTACACAGTAAATTCTGCAAAAGTTAAAAAGGATATGTCTGATTTAACAGTGGAAAAGATGGATGAATCTAATTTTGTCATATTAACAAAAGAAAGAAAAATTAGCAGATGATTCAATTAATAGATGGAGTAATAACATTTGGCAACATCTATTTATGATAAAAACACTCAGAAAAGTATGTATAAAATGGAGCCACTTCATTACAACATGAAAAAATATCGTATATTTATTCATTAAACATTATGAATAAGAAAAAGACAAAGTATCTACTTCTTATACTACTGCATTGTGATTGGAGAACACGCTATGATTTCAATTCTTTTAAATTTGTTAAGGTGTGTTTTATGAATAAAGATGTGCTCTATTTCAATATATACTATGGGCTCTTGGAAAGAATGTATATTCTGTTGCTTGGAATGGATTGCTATATAAATGTCAATTCGTTCTTATTAATAAATAAATGTAATTATTATATTCGAACTGAGTCTTGTAGAATACATACAGTTTTTAATTAGATCATGTTTTTAATAGAATCTACCAAATGCTTTCTTTAATTGGTATCTTAAAACATTTGCATTATGTCTTTTACCAAATCTGTGAAGTTTTTAATCATGATTTCTTTAAGTATTTTTTAAACCCTGTCATTTTGCTCTTCTCTTTTTAGGACTCAAATGACATAAATATTACATCTTTCATTATAGTCCCCAAAGACCCTGAAACTCAGTTCCTTTTTGAAGCCTATTATTTTCTTTTGTCCAGGTAGGCAATTGATATTTTCCTATCTTCTTGTTTGCTGATCCTTTCCTCTACACCTTCTCTTGCTGTGTAGCCCATACGTTAAGTTTATTTTGATTAGCATATTTTTCAGTTCTAAAATTCTGATATTATTCTTTAAAATTTATGTTTCTGAGTGTTTTATATTTAATTTTATACTTGTTCATATTTGATTTTTGAAGTATTTTTTTAAAAATGTTTGCTTTTATATCCTTGTCAGATAATTCTCACATCTCTGTTATCTTTGCACTGGCATCTATTAAGTGTTTGTTTGATTTAGTTTTATGCCTTCCTGTTTCATGGCATGAGGAACACCTTTATATTGAAACCTGTATATTTTGGGTCTTACATTATGAGACCGTGAATGTAATTTAAAACTTCTGTTTTACTGGCACCACCCAAGCAGGGGAAGGGAAAATTGCCATTTCTTTCCTGGGAGTTGATGTCCAGATTCTCCACTAGACCTAGGAATACAATTCACAAGGGATGTGAAGGACCTCTTCAAGGAGAACTACAAACCACTGCTCAAGGAAATAAGAGAGGATACAAACAGATAAAAAAAAATCCATGCTTATGGTTAGGAAGAATCAATAACATGAAAATGGTCATATTGACCAACGTAATTTATAAATTCAATGCTATCCCCATCAAGCTACCACTGACCCTCTTCACAGAATTGGAAAAAAGAAAAGAAAAGAAAAAAACCTTAAACTTCATATAGAAGCAAAAAGAGCCCACAAAGCCCAAGACAATCCCAAGCAAAAAATACAAAGCTAGAGGCACCACACTACCTGACTTCAAACTGTGCTAGAAGGCTACAGTAATCGAAACAGCATGGTACTAGTACCAAAACAGAGACATAGACCAATGGAACAGAACAGAGACCTCAGAAATAATGCCACACATCTACAACCATCTGATCTTTGACAAATCTGACAAAAACAAGCAATGGAGAAAGGATTCCCTATTTAATAAATGGTGTCGGGAAAACTGGCTAGCCAAATGCAGAAATCTGAAACTGGATCCCTTCCTTACACCTTATACAAAAATTAACTCCAGGTGAGTTAAATATTTAAACATAAGACCTAACACCATAAAAACCCTAGAAGAAAGCCATTTAGGAAATAGGCATGGGCAAGGACTTCATGACTAAAACACCAAAAGAAATGGCAACAAAAGCCAAAATAGACAAATGGGATCTAATTAAACTAAAGAGCTTCGGCTCAGCAAAGGAAACTATGCTTAGAGTGAAAAGACAACCAACAGAATGGGAATGGGAAACAATTTTTACAATCTACCCCTCTGATAAAGGGCTAATTATCCAGAATTTACAAAGAACTTAAACAAATTTACAGAAAATAATAACCCCATAAAAAAGTTGATGAAGGATATGAACAAACACTTTTCAAAAGAAGACATTTATGCAGCCAACAAACATATGAAAAAAAGCTCATCATCACTGGTCTTAGAGAAATGAAAATTTAAACCACATTGAGATACCATCTCATGCCAGTTAGAATGGCGATCATTAAAAAATCGGGAGACAACAGATGCTGGAGAGGAAGTGGACAAATAGGAATGCTTTTACACTGTTGGTGGGAGTGTAAATTAGTGCAACCATTGTTGAAGACAGTGTGGCAATTCCTAAGGATCTAGAACTAGAAATACCATTTGACCCAGCAATCCCATTACTGGGTATATACCCAAAGGATTATAAATCATTCTATTACAAATCTTTCTATTAAATGATTCTATGCAACAAATATGCACATTCTGCACATGTACCCCAGAACTTTGGCAATCCCATTACTGGGTATATATCCAAAGGATTATAAATCATTTTATTACCAATCATACCATTAAAGTATTCTATGTAACATACCTGCATGTTCTGCACATGTATCCCAGAATTTAAAGTATAATAACAAATAAAATAAATAATTTCATATGGAACAAAAAAGTAGCCAGAATAGCCCAGATAATTCTAAGCAAAAAGAGCAAATCTGGAGGCATCAAGTTACTGGACTTCAAAGTATACTATGGGACAGCAGTAATCAAAACAGCATGGTACTAGTAGAAAAACAGACTAATACAAACACACACACACACACACACACACACACACAGATATATACATACATATATATATATATATATAACAGAATAGACAGCACAGAAATAATGTTGCACACATATAAGCATCTGAGCTTCAACAAAGCTGACTAAAATAAACAATGGAAAAAAAATTTCCTATTCAACAAATGGTTCTGGAAATTCAAACTGGCTATCCATATGCAGAAGATTGAACCTGAACTCCTTCTTACACCATATACAAAAAAAAAATAACTCAATATGGATTAAAGCCTTTTATATTAAAATGATAAAAATTCCTGAAAAACAACCTAGGCAATACCTCTCTGAACATATGAATGGGCAAAGATTTCATGAGGAAGATGTCAAAAGCAATAGCAATAAAAGCAAAATTAGACAAATCTAATCTAATTGAACTTAAGAGCTTCTGCACAGAAAAAGAAACTATCAACAGAGTAAACGAAGACCTAAAGAATGTGAGGAAATGTTTGAAAACCATGCATCTGATAAAGACCTAATCCAGCATCTATAAGGAAGTTAAACAAATGTGGCAAGAGGAAAGAAAGGGTAGGGTAGGGTAGGGTAGGGTAGGGTGGGGGGGGAGGGGAGGGGAGGGAAGGGAAGGGAAGGGAAGGGGAAAAGGAAGGAAAAAGGAAAGAAAAGGGAAGGGAAGGGAAGGGAAGGGAAGGGAAGGAAAGGGAAGGGAAGGGGAAAAGGAAGGAAAAAGGAAGAAAAGGAAAGAAAGAAAAGAAAGGTAAGGAAAGAAAAGAAAGAAAGAAACCACACACACACACACACACACACACACACACACACACACATTAAAAAGTGGGCAAAGGACACAAACAGAAACTTTTCAAAAGAAGACATACGAATGGCTAAAAAGCATATGAAAAAATGCTCAGTATCTCTAATCATTAGAGAAATACAAATTAAAATCACAAGACACCATCTCATACCACTCAGAATGGTCATTATTAAAAAGTGAAAAAATAGTAGATACTGAGGAGGTTGTGGAGAAAAGGGCATGCTTATATACTATTGATGGGAGTCAAAATTAGTTCAATCATTGTGGAAAGCAGTGTGGTGATTACTCAAAGAGCTAAAAAACAAAACTACATTTGATGCAGCAATCCCATTACTGGATATATACCAAGAGAAACAGAAATCATTCTACCATAAAGATACATACACTTGTATGTTCATCACAGCACTAGTCACAATAGTAAAGGAATGAAATCAACCTAAATGCCCAAAAATGACAGACTGGATAAAGGAAATGTGTTACATATACACCACAGAGTATGTATATGCAGCCATAAAAGAAGATTATTCATTTTGTGGGAATATGGATGAAGCTGGAGGCCATTACCCTTAGCAAACTAATGTACAAACAGAAAATCAAATGCTGCATTTCCTCATGTATAAGTTATCATCATCAGCTAGATGATGATAACTCATGAACACAAAGAAAGGGACAACATACTGGGATCTACAGTTGGGTGGAGGATGGGAGAGGGTGAAGAGTAGAAAAAAAAGCTAATGGGAACTAGGCTTAGTATCTGGGTGACAAAGTAATCTGTATAACAAACTCCCATGGTACCTGTTTACCTATATAACAAACCTGCACAAGTACCCCTGATCCTAAAACTTAAAATAAGGTGTGTACATATATACATTACATATATATGTGATATATACTATATAATATATATATTTCACCGTATTAACAGCCAAATTAATAGCCAAAGGAGAAAAATTACACAAACATATCAATCTGCAAATAAAGCATTTGACACAATACAGTATTAATTTGTAATAAAAATAGGAATGGATAACTACCTCAACTTTACAAAAAGAATCTATTTTAAAATCCACAATTAACATTATACCTCATGATTAAAAAACTGAATATTATCCTCCTAAAATTCAAAATATAACAAGCATGTTTGCTCTCATCACTTTTATTCAACACAGTGCCAGTAGTCCTTGCCAGTAGAAAAAAAGGCCTGGAAATTAGGGAAAAGGTAGAGAGATCAGAAAGAAAGAAAGAAAACTGTCCTTCTTTGTACATGACATAATTTTCTATGTAGAAAATCCCATAGAATCTAAAAAAGAAAAAAATGCAAATACAAATCTCACAATAATAAGTGCATTTAACAACGTTGCAGAATACAAGATCATGCAAAAATCAATTAGATTTTTGTACAGTAGCAATGAACATGAGAAAACTAAAATTAAAAAATATTATCAAATACAGTTGCTCATAAAATGGCTTTAGGTGAAAATCTAACAAAACATGTATAGGACTGATATGCTGAAAACTATTAAAATGTATACAAAACAAATATCTAAATAAATAAAGGCAGATTATGTTCACAGATTAGAAGATTTTGCACAGTAAAAGTGCTAATTCTCCCCAAACTGAAACAGAGACTTAACACAATTTCCATCAAAATCTCAGAAAGATAATTTTTATAGATACAGTCAAGATTACTCTAAAATTTCTTAAGAAAGTCTGAGAAGTCGTAATAGCTAAAATGATTTTGACATACAAAAATAAGGTAGGAGGCATCAGCTAAAGTTATCTATCTACACTAATTAAGATTGTAGGGTATTGGATTAACAGATAAATGGAACAGAATAAAAATCTGAAAATATACCATATAAATATTCTCCACTGATTTTTGACAAAATTGAAAAGTATTCCAATACAAAAAAAAATGGTATTATAGCAATTGAACATAGATAAGCAAAAAGAGAGAGAAAAGGAAAGAAAAGAAAGGATAAAAAGAAAGAAGAAAAGGAAGGAAAGAAGGAAGGGAGGGAGGGAGGGAGGCAGAGAAGGAGGGAGGGCTACAATCTAGATCTCACACCTTATACAAAAATTAACTAAAAATTAAATAAATCACAGATTTAAATTTAAAATGCAAAACTATAAAACTTCTAGAAAAAATAGGAAAAAAAATCTTCAGAATATAGGGCTAAGCAAAAAGTTCTCATCCTGACACCAAAAACATAATCTGTAAGAGAAAACTATTGACAAACTATATTATATCACATTTTTAATAACTTTGATCTGTCCAAAACTATTCAGAAAACAAAAGAGTAAATTACAGACTGGAATAAGTAAATTGCAGACCAGGATTTAACTGTCTTTCAGGAAAAAAATGAAATGGCTAATTCTGTGTCAACTTAACTGGACCACAGTGTGCCCAGATATTTTATTAAATATTTTTCTAAGTATGTCTGTGATTGTGTTCAGTAATGAGATCAACATAGACTGAGCAAAGCCGATTGCCCTCCTTAATGTTCTAATTCAATGAAGTGAAGGCCTAAACAGAACAAAAAGCCTTTCCTTCCCTTGACTAAGAGATAATTCCTTCCTTTCTTACTGCTTTCCAAAGGGACATCCATTTTTGTTTGTTTGTTTTCTTTTTCCTGTATTTTGACTTGAACTAAAACATCAGTGCTTTCTTGATCCCGTACCGAACATCCTTC